CACACACACACACAAAACTGTGAACTGAGAAGAAATCTTTGGTCAACATTAGCAGTTTGCAACAAAGAGAACAGTGAAGACAGATCATAGAAACACCGTACAATAACTTATTGTTCTACCTCACAACACAATAGCTTTTCAACAGAGACTGTTTTGCTGGGACGAGTGAAACGACGAGTGTAGGAGTTACTTCACTACGGCTTCACGGGGCAGACGTGGACGTCCGACGACAGAAACACTGGAAGAGAAAAAACACTTGCAGGATTCGACAACACAAGGAAAACTTTAGTCCACACGGATGTTTTTTTAAAGGGCTCAAAGGAAAACCAAAATAAATCAGCACGACGCCGAAACCAACTGGCTGACCTGCGCAGGTTTTGGTTGTTTTAAAGGAATTTGGTTTCCTCTCTGCTCGTCCCTTTCTCGCCTACAGTAACGGATGAATGACGGCGTGATGTTTCCAAAGTGCTAACGGGTGAGCCTTCTTTATTACGCGCCCAGGAAAAACAACAAAAGAACAACTTGGACAAAGTAAACGTTGGCCTTTGAGGTCTACTCCTGTTCCATGGGGGAACCCGAGCTAACAGCCAGGTTCCTGTGGAGGTTCGGGTTCTGGCTGTGCCTGTTCCTGCTCCGCACGGAGGAGAACGACGTGTCGCAGCCGGGGACTTTACACTTGTGAAGAAGTCTCAGATGGACAGTCTTGTAATGGGCTCTGAATGTGCCCTTGTTGCTGTAGACCTTTTGGCAGACGTGGCACGTTATTGGAGATCCACCCCCACCTCCCTGAAGCCCTCCTTGTCCTCCCTCGCCACAGCCCAGGGTCCTCCCCCCTTCGAGTGCAAGCTCGTCGCCCCCGGGCCTGCCCACGCCGATCCCATCGCAGCTTTCATCGCTGTCCTCCACGGGGAGCGCCTCCTCCTCGTCTTCCTCGGCCCCCTCCCCTTCCTCGCTGCCGGCTCCGTCTGAGTCCCAGGAAGACTGAGCGCTGCCACGAGGCGGGGCAGAGGATGAGGTGCTCAGGTCCAGGACTGCCCCATCCTCCCCGCTTACGCCGCCTTCCCCACCTCCCAATCCCTGAGTCTCTCCCACCGGAGACGCCTCGGCGCTGTCCAGAGCCGTGGACATTTTGCTCATCGGGAAGACCAGACCCATGCGGTTGTGCCCTCGGAAGATGACGGAGGTCTGGCCGCTCGGATCCCGGTGGGGCGGGTCTCGGTCCCGCTGCTCTTGGCAGTACTCCAGCCCGGCAGAGTCTCTGTCTCGACAAAGGGAGGCGTGAGAGTAGAGGGCGTTGGCCGGGCTGAAGGAGTCTTTGGTCAGCAGCTTGTGGTGCAGGTTCAGGTTGGCGCTGTGTCTGCGGGTGGAAAACAAAAATGACACTGTGAGTGTTTCAGTCAGTTTACCATCTGAAACATTTATTGTTATTGCAGCTGCACAAAGAGTGATGAGCGTCCGTCTGCATGCGAGCGCTCATCGCACTGACAGAGAGAGCTATCCGAGTTTGGATCACTTTTGGAAGGTTCGGATAAAAAGTGTCTTCAGTGTTTTTAACAAGGTGACAAGATTTCAGGTGACTGTGGCTGTTTTCCACAAACATTAACACAGGGCAGCGTTCTTAGCCCTCTGCTGTGGTTTGGGTACAAAGTGAGAAGCACCTTCAGAAATGTAGAATTGCTGTTAGCTGATGGAAGTTCAGTTCAATTCAGCACCAAAACAACACAACACAGCAACGATCACTTTATCCAGTAAAGACCCAACAGTCAGGGGGAAGCAGTAGGCGACACCGGGGAAGAAAAACTCCCACAGAGGTCACACTGCTGTTCTGTCGCTATGGTGATGCTGAACTGTCCCCTTCCAAAGAGCGAGAGCTTGAATCTGAGCAGGCGAGGTTTTTCCTCTCCACTGTCACCAAATGCTGGCTCATAGGGGGTCATCTGATTGTCTATTGATGTTTTACACTATAATGAGCCTTGAGGCGACTGCTGTTGTGATTTGGTGCTATATAAGTACAAATGGATCGATCTGTATCTGTGAGACGCAGCCAGCACGAGAACAGGCTGTCATCACACACGTACAGTCTTTACCCTGTGAGGGCCAAACCCGACTCTGTTTTTGATTGACGAGGCTCCAGGACACAGTTTGCTAAAGCAGATGCACTTTCAGCTGCAGCGTCAGTGCAAACAGATGCAGTTTGTAACGTTTCCTACAGATTCATGAACACAGAAACCTGACGTGGTGCTGCACAGACATGCAGGCTGCACTTTCGAGTCGTGACTTTAAGTTGTTGTTTATAAATACTCGAACGTGCACTTGTGTCAGGAGGAGAAATCGAGCGCCTCTCACCTGTCTCTGCTCCTGCGGGAGGGGAAGGCGGCGTTGCAGCCGTCCACCGTGCACATGTGCATCTCCTTCAGGTGGACGTTTTGGTAGTGCATCTTGACGCTGTAGGGGTTTTTGAAGTTCTTGCTGCAGATCTCACAGTGGTGCGGCAGGACGGCGTCGGGATCGAGGTGAGATAACCCTCCGTAGTCATCTCCGCAGCCATCGGACGCCTCCCTCTCTATGAGCTGGGGGCCGCCGCCATTCGCCAGCCTGTGCTCGCCGTCGTCCCACTTGAGTTCTGACATCTTGTTGAGGGCGTGCTCGCGGTCCTCCCTCTCTGGGTCCTGGCAGAGCGAGCTGTCGTCACAGTGATTGTCCATCAGCCTGTTTTCGAAGGGGGAGGACGCGCAGGTGATGACGCCGGTCTCGGCCACTCTCGAGCCGTCGTCTTTGTCCTCCCTCTCTGTCCATTCTCTCTCCATGTCTTTGCCCTGGTACGCGTCTCTGGCTTCCTTCTCCTCCCCAGCTTGTCTTGTGCACAGACGTCCTTCCTCTTCGTTACCGTCGCACTCGTCCTTGTCCCTGCCGTGTAAGGGAGCCTCATCCTCGGAGCTGCTCTCCTTATCCTGCTCATCTCGCTCCACCATCTCCTTTTCTATCTTTATTGGCATGCTGGACTTGCGAGACTTTTTCTTTGGTATCGGGTCAGTCGTGCAGGGCTCGGGGGCTGTGAGGGGTTTGACGGGCACAGAGGAGGACAGCAGAGGAAGCGAGGGCAGCGTTCCCGGGGTGTTGGCGAGCTCAGCCGGGGTTACCAGGCTTCTGTAGAAAGGCAGGACTGGCTGGACTGTTTTCAAGTTGGGGAAGAGGATGCCGCTTTGGCCCATGCTGGGGAACGAGCTGCTGTGGAGCTTGGAGCCAGAGTCCATGTGGCTCACCATGTAGCTGGACACCGATTTTTGGCTCTCTGCAGAGCAGATGGAGATGGGGGTGCCGTATTCAGGCCTCTTCTCTCCTTCAGAGCTCTCGTCAGCGGACAAGTTGCTCCGCAGGTCTTTGTCCCGGTTGTTGCGGTTCATGGGCATATGGAGGCGTGGGTTTGGGTTGGCACTGTGGCGATTGCGGCTGCGCAGCGAGCTGAACACCATGTTGCAGCCCTCGATGGTGCACTTGTGCTTGATCTTGAGGTGCACTGCGTTGTAGTGGATTTTCAGCGTGCCTTTGTCATAGAACGTCTTCTCGCAGGCGTTGCAAAACACACGACCCTTCTTCAGAGAGCCTCCTCCGGCGATGCCTCCCGAGACGCCACCGCCGCTCCCGTTTCTGTCCAATGAGCGCAGTTTGCTCTCCGGTGACATCTGGGTCACGTCGGAGCTGATGGACGGCGTGCACGGTGTGGAGGGCCCGTCTGAGTAATTGTCACTGGTGGAGAAGTCCTCGGCCTCGATCTTCGTGCTGGCGGAGAGGCCGTCCGTCGGCTTGTCTCCACTTCGGTCGAGGTCAGCTGAGAACGAGATGGCGCCGGAGCTGAGCAGCGTGCTCTCCGACGGGTGCGACAGAGAGGGGTGATTGTCCCTGAGCAGGCCGTCCCGCCCCTGAACGTCCTGCCGCTGACCCTGCTGCTCCATCGGCCCGCGGCACAGCGGCTGGTGCTGCTGATGTTGCTGGTGCTGCTGTTGCATCGCCCCCGTGTGCGAGCCCAGGAACGGCGCCGGGACAGAGCCGAGCAGCTGGAACGGCAGCATGAAGGCCATGCTGTTGATGAAGTTCTCGAAGTGGTGCATGCTGTTGCCGCTCAGCTTATCGGCCTTGGACGCGGAGAGGTTGGCAGCCGTGCGGGGGGTGTTTCGCTCGATGAACGTGCGGATGTCGGAGTTGGTGCGGGTGCTGGGTACCAGCACTGCCTGGCCCTCTTTGTCCTGCAGAGCCATCAGCTCCACGATGGATTTGGTCTCCCCGAAACGCAGGAACTGCTGCAGCGTGGCGATCTCCTCCTCGAACGTCATGATCGCCCAGCGGTCCAACACCTTCCCCGCGACATCCTGCAGAGAGAAGAGAGGAGAGGGCAGAGGAAGTAGGAGAAAGAAAGGAGAGAGCGGTTTCATCATCGGCATTAAAAGTGTCTGCTGGCTTGCTCATACATATTCACACAGTGGGCTGCACGACACACCTTATAAAGCAGATTGGCAGGGCGGCTAAATAAAGGAATCAGATGGAGTGTTAATGCGAGCGGGCAGCGCAGAACCCCGAGAAAGCTCATTACGCAGACACGCAGCGCTTCATCTCGCAGGTCATTTCTCTTCATTTAAATCATGTGGATGTGCCTGCTCTGCATCGGCAGGACACACACACGCACGCGCACACTCCCAAAGGCGAGCGCAAATAAATACGTGCACAACATACCACACACACATATCTGCGGCGAGGGCGGGGGGAGCAGAAGGCGCCGTGCATTGATCAAGCGGGTCCTCTCTGCCTCAGCCCGGCTGTAATCACATGTGAGTTTGGGCGTCTTTGAAAGTGAGGAGCGGCTTCGTGCCATAACCACGATTAATATTTCATCACAGAGCATTCATTGGGTGCCTGTCGAGGATTCTGACTCTACGTTCGCCATTAGATGAGCTAACATGAATTAAACGCAGCCCAGCTTGAATACTTGATGATGTACTAATCGAAGTGAGATCTGTGTGCGCGCCTGACACGGCGCCTGCAGCCTCGGACCCGGCCGGCTTGGCGCCGGCTTGAGAGGAAATCTGGAGCAAAAGACATAATGTTTACAAATGTAGCGGGCAGTTCGGAGACCTCCCCGAGCCCGGTGGTACCGTCTCGACGGGGTACCGGCTCGTGGCATCGCTTTTCCGTGGCACCCCCCCGCCCTTTCCTGCCTGGCGTCAACCATGATTTTCTGACTCCCCCTCCTCCCTCGCCTTCCTCAGAAATTCCGTCAGTCTCTCCCTTCATGTACTCGCGGGCGGTGGTGGTGTTTCTCAGGTGTCCCGCTCACACGTCTATCCAGGAAAGTGTTTTAACTTTGTTTTTCGTCACTGCGGCGGCCAAAAAACTGAGTCTGAACACAACCCGAGTCCACAAAATGCTGCAAAAACAGGAGGAAATGAAGGCGCGATATTTAAAAATATGCATTGATATTGTGTCGTAATGCATGACCAATAATATGAGAAATAATCCTTCTTGTCTCACAGACGCTCATCTCCTCCATGCACTCAAAAACATGCAGTACACAAAGTTGTAGATGATTATTTCAGGTTTCCCCAAAAGAGATTTTGGCCACAACAAAACTGAATCCAACAGCTTTCTAATTAAACTAATTAAATTAACACTTTTACCAGCTACATAACATTCAATTCAACTTTATTTATACACAACAACAGTCGCCTCAAGGTGCTTTATACTGTAAGGCAGACCCTACAATAATACATACAGAGAAAAACCAACAATCACATGACCCCCTGTGAGCAGCACTTTGGCGACAGTGGGAAGGAAAAACTCCCTTTTAACAGGAAGAAACCTTCAGCAGAGCCAGGCTCAGGGAGGGGCGGGGCGGGGCCATCTGCTGCGATTGGTTGGGGTGAGAGATCACATGTCTGTGCTTATCAAATGGTTACGATTAACAAAGAAATGCACAGATTGTTGTGAAATAAGTGAACAGTCAGACATCAGCCTGCACTTCCTCTAACATCCACCAGAGGCTCCAGTGTCGGGGAGCCGCTCTGTTAAACGTGTTAAACGGCTCCAGCAGAAGATAACTGATACACTCAGAATACGACTGTAAGGAGAGTCTGTGGCTATCAGCAGTAAAGCAACGTCCCCCATCCTGATTTCTTTTGTAAAATTATTAAATTATTTTTTATAGAACTTTTCTTTGTAGAAGAGCGCTGAGCTTAGCTTAGCATAAACCCTGGAGGCAGCTAAACTGAAGTCTTAAACTGAATGAACACCGACGATTGAAGGCCTCTTTCTCACTCACAGAGCCTTTCTAGAGCTTCTCCAGCTGCAGCCAGATGCAGCACAGGTGTCCTTAAGTTTGTCCCTCATGAGGTGTCCACAGGTGCATCAGGCACACATGTTTTTAATGTGCAAGCTTACTGTTATATTCAAACATGAACCACGATCAATTTGTGAACCTGATCATCGAATCCCTGCTCCCCTGACTGATGAGCCACACATGCAGGTGGCATTGTGCCGCAGACCGTTGCTGAACGCTAACCTGTTCAGTCAAACCTTTCCTGAAATGTCGCGCACACCAGCCGACGCTTCTTCAGTCCTAAGCGCTCACCTGCAGCACGTATCCTCGTATGTAGTCCTGCAGCGTCCAGTCGAGCGCGTTCAGGATCTGGATCACCTCCTCCTGCTTCAGGACGGAGAACAGGCGGTCCAGGAGGATCTTGAGGCGGATGGGGATGGCCTGCGTGCCGTACAGCATCAGGCTGCAGATGTCGAACACCACATTGGAGTGGACGATCTCCACCTGGCTGCTCTGGTACATGTGGTGCACCTTCAGCTTGCTCAGGGCTGAAACACAGGGGTCACGTTTGAGCAGATTAGATTAATCTGAGATCACAGAGTTCAGCTCCGCCTGGGTGCTGCATGCGTGTTTGTGCTGCTGCATGTTCACATTTCACATTCCTGTCCGCTCTCTCACTCCGCTTGCATTATTAAATGGAGTTCAAGCATTTATTAATATTTTTTTGATCGAATCTTTGGGCCTAAATGTAACAAATCAAATCAAAACAGAAACAAAAGAAAAAGAATGAAAAATAAATAAACAATAATCTTCATTAAATATTGGACAACAAATAAAATCTGTTCACTGCACTTCAGGCTGCTCAGCAACTTAACCTTTATTATTATTATTATTTGTTTTCATTCGAACAATTTCCTGTTAGATCGTTTTACTACTTTTTAAATTTACTTTTTATTCTTTCTATTTGCCATTTTATTTATTTAGTTTAAAGAAATATATAATTTCTAATTTAAGTTTTATTTAACAAAATTTTAATTTAGCTTTTTTATTATAATAGCTTAATTTTGCTTATTTTTATTCGGTATTATTACATTTTATTTAGATTTTTATTTATTGAACTTCTTTAGTTATTTATTTTTATGTCATTCACTTTTTATTTTAACTCTTTTTTTGTCCTTTAGAAATTTGGCTTCTAACTTCGTGCTCTATATTGTGTGTATGACAGAGTGGGTATTACTGGACGATGTTAACTGGAGTGAATAACGCAGCATTCAAGTCTGTGTTGCAGAAATAATCATCAGAACACAAAATGATGGTGATTCATGCGGAGTGTTGGACACATTAGAATAATTACAGGAAATAAATGTGACTCTCGCTCTGTAAACTCTGACTTCCAGAGCTTCAGCGATCATTAAAATCCCGCTGCGGTCACCCTGTTAGTCCACCATCATCGCGATGACTCTAAAGGTTCACCTAAATCTGAAAGCTCCAGTTCTCCAGATTTTCAGACGGTATCACAATAAAGTGATGAGTGATTGTCTTGACACAAAAAGCCTTCAGGTGACTCCAGGCGTTACTCTAAGTACTTAAATCACACTTTTCTGGCCTTTGTGAGAACTCAAAAAATGTTTTGGTTTTTTTACTTCGTGCTTTTACTTAAAAAAAAAAAAAAGCTGCATAAATAATATTTAGTGAATAAAATCCTCAGTCAAGAAAAATGAATTATTTTTGATTTTCTGTTTGCGATTTTCTTTTAAATAGACCGATTGTGTCTGCAGGGTTCTGGAAACGTCTTATTTATGTGAGGAAGAATGACAGACACCAGCTGGGAGTAAACTGGGATGTCTCAGCTGGTGTCTGCTGGGAGTAAACTGGGATGTACTGCAGGGAGGAGCTCAGGGTTCTGTGTCATCATTAAAATCAACACTTTTTCTCCTGAGTCAGCAAACGTGAAGTTCAGGATTCACGCACGCCAACAAAGGCAGAGGGTCAAACATGTCGTCGGGCGCCGCGGGTTACTCGATTACGTTAAACACGCAGGTTTTCTCTCTGTGACGGTTCCTGATGTTTAACCTGGGTCTGTGTAAAGGCGACAGTGTCATCGCTGCGCTCACTGTCAGAGTCTTTTCTAACTTTATTTAAACACGTCCATGTGAACAACACTGTGCAGCTCTGCAGCCACACTTCATGTTGCATCTCTGTTTGAATTTAAACGCCGCGTGGTCGTAGAATCTCCCTGACTACAGCATCCATCTGATGCTCAAAGCCTCCGACTGTGTCTGAACTTCAGCCGTGCTCTGCTCTTCTTTATTTAATTTTTAAACACAGCTCACATCTTATCGTCTCACAGGACACAGCTGCACGTTTCACTTACAGTTAATCTGAAAAATAATAAAACTAAAAACAGGAAGCTACTTTCTTGATTCCAGTTTAATGGTTTTATTTGTGAGTCTGTCAGCAAACTAGAAATTAGATTCCTTTGGCACACAGATAAATAGATTCAGATTTCAGCGTGAAAGCTTTTTAAATCAAAGATTTCTGACTGATAATAACGACAAACTCTCGTCTTACCGTGAGCCACCCAGCCATGCTTGCAGTTTTCACACTGCCTCCTCTTCAGCTTCCCCGGCTTGAAGCTGTCACAGTTACAGTTCACCAAAGTGCAGCAGATAGCCTGTCAACACACACACACACACACACACACACACACACACACACACACACACACACACACACACAGAATTCTTTACAATGAAAGCAGATAGAATCAGATAAACTGCAGGTTTTCTTTTCCTGTGTTGTGAACGGTTTTCCTTACATTAAAACACTGCAGAGGCCTTTCACACATTTAGTCACACTGGATGTGGGAAGAAACGGAAACGCCAAATTCCTGACATCAAGACCTGACACGACTGATGTCAAGGCCTCTCTGTAATTTTATAAATTACTAAACGAAAAATATTTCATGGATTTCTTACAGAAAATCACCAGTAATTTAACACCTGTGTGGGGTTAAAATGACTGGTAGAGAAACCAAAGCAGATCTGAGCAGCAGAGCGTGGAGATGATCAGCTGCAGGTTTTAAAAAGCATTTAACACATTTTAAAGTTCCTAATGAATTAACAGGCAGGCACTTAATGGCAGCTTTGACTGATAATAAGCGTCAGAGCGCTGCGTTTATATTTGGTGTTGAAGGCAGTAAAAATAATCAAAGTGTCAAAAACGAAAAATCAGCAAAATTATCAAAACTGTGAAAATGAAACATTTAAAATTACAGTGAATGCAAAATTTTTTAATGAGAAGAAAGACGAAGGACAAACTGACACAAGTGAATAAAATGATTATTGTTACATTTGCATTATTTTTAGATTCCAGGTAAGCAGCGAGTCGGTCACCCTGAGTCTCCTCCTCTCTGCTGACCTTCAGGTGGCAATAATAACATCAATAACAACAATAATCATAAAGTATTTATTTGTGCAGTGTTTGGTTTTGTCCATGCAGCGATGCTGTGGCTGCAGAGGAAACCAGGTGAGCGCTGCACCTGAGAGCCGTGGTGCTCTCCAGCAGCCTTCTTGTGCTTAGTGTCACATTAAATTCACATGTTAATGTGCCACATACATATAAAACCTTCTTCTGTTTTTTAAAATTAATTTTAGGATCTCGTCAGGTCGGTTTAGCAGCAAACTCCTCCTGTGCTGCAAACCAGCTCGACGATTGTTTAGCTGTTCGTGTGATGTTTTATTCTAGTCTTTATTGATTTGAATCATTGGCTGAGGGTTCGCTTCTTTTCATAATGTGGTCACAAACATGCTGTTTAACACGTTTTTGTGTTTGTGCAGGAAAAGTAATTAATTGTAATTAGAGTAATTTATGTCCAGCCTTAAAAATCCGTCAGTGTTTCCATAAAACACATGAAGATCGTTTTGGGTGTCAAAAAATTTGTATTAAATAAAAGAAAATATGCAAACGTGATCTGAATCTGGAACCCCGACAACAAACCTCCACAACCTCCACCTCAGTACGCAGTCAAGGCAAAAAAGAAGTGCTGAGAGTGTGTGTGTGTGTGTGTGTGTGTGTGTGTGTGCAGTTGTAGCTTCGCTCTCCTTACAAAGCTACATAAAAAATGTACAATCGTCAAGTTGCCCGTGGAAACTGAAAGAAGGAGCACGACTGCCTTTGGTGATTTCTCCCCCATCACTTCGTGGTTTGCCCCGTTAGCACAGGTGTGTGTGTGTGTGTGTGTG